TTTAGGTTAAAAACTTCATTCTATGAGGGAGGGGAGAAAACGGGCAAATTATTAGCAAGACAAGTTAAAAACGGGTTTTTGAGCACAATCACTGCCATTAAACAAGGAGATACTTTAGTAACCTCAGCAAAAGACAAACATTAGATACATCCTCAGTGTTTAACGAGACAAACCAAAGGGGTTAGGGACTAACCCAGCAGCATGCAGAGTGGTGTGAAGCACCAATTACTGAAGAGGAGATGAGGAAGGCAATTTCAGGGATGAAGGTGGGCAAATCCCCCGGTTGTGATGGTTTTCCATCAGAATACTGCAAGGAGCATATAGATATTCTTCCAGTGTTACAAAAGGTCTATCAAGAGATTTTTGAGAGAAGACAGCTGCCTCCTACTTTTAATGAAGCTCTGATAACCTTGATTCCGAAAACCAATAGGGATAGCACGGACCCGGCAGATTATAGACCAGTTAGTTTATTAAATGTAGACTGTAAAATATTAACCAAGCTGCTGGCTGTGCGCTTACAGCAAGTCCTTCTTAGTATTATTCATCAGAATCAGACAGGCTTTATGAAAACCTGCTCCCCTTCTGATGCACCTAATGGACACTATACAGATGGATTCGACGGTTTCAGGGTAGCCAATAAATTGGGCTAAATCTGAAGCCATCCATTATCCTCTTTATGTCATTCACACATGGTCAAAGGTTTTAAAATCAAATGGATACCTGAAGGCATGAAGTATCTTGGGATTAGACTCAGTAGGGATTTGGAAGCGTTACCTTCACTAAGTTTTTATCCGGTGCTTTCAAAAATTAAACTTTGAAAAGTGGGAGAAGATAAAACTAACACTATGGGGTAAGATTAACGTTATAAAAATGATCGCCGCCACTCAGTTTAGCTACCTGCTTATGATGCTTCCTATTACAATTCCACTTGATATTTTTAAAAGATATGAACATTTGATTAAACATGTCTTGTGTGGAGGTAAAAGAGCGAGAATAAAACTATAAAAATCGTATGGTCCTAAGGAACAGGGTGGGTTAGGAGCTCTATTGTCTGTCATTTGAGATTTCTAAATCTCACACAGGTGTGTGCCTCCAAAACACACACCTGTGTTCACGTGGCATATGCACCATTGGTGATTTGTACAAAGACGGGCAATATGAACTTACTCCCACATTTAATTTGGAAGGTCGAGCAAACTTTTAGAAAAATTTACAGATGGGACATTGTTACCTCGAAATTTAAAATGATTGTAGAAAATGATATATTGAACTATATTAGGATGCCGCGTGATCGACACACTGCCTCTCAGTTTTATAAGCTGTTAATTTATAATTTGAGTAGTGAATCGTCAAATATTAAACTTTTATGGCAGAGAGATTTGAGAAAAGAGTATACAAAAGAAAAATGGTTGAATGTGTGGTCAGAGTGGTAAATATGTCAACGAGGCCAGATGTAAATTTATACTGTATAAGGTGCTACATAGATATTATCATATACGCCTGCCAGACTGCATAGAATGAAAATAATGTCAGACAATATGTGTTGGACATGTTAGAAAGAGGTGGGCACATATTTGCCCTGTTTTGGGACTGCTCTCTGGTTTCACTATTTTGGATTAAAATCTCGGAGGCTCTGAGTTCAGGGCTCAGCTCAGAGATCCTCAGACTCCAGAACTGGGTTTACTGGGACGGATCTTGATGGTCGGTCTGGTGACAGCCTGCAGGGTCACCTTAAGACATTGGAAGAGCACAAAGTGTCCCGAGTTAAATGAGTGGATTAAATCGATGACAGACACAGCTTCCTATGAAGCCGTGCTCAACAACATGGAAGGTAACAGGACATGGACTAGGACAGTTTTTGGGACTCACTGAGCAGAACTACAGCCTCTGTGATGCATCAGGGTGAAGCTTCTTGGTTTTCCTGGACAGAATTAATGCTAAAACATGCATGTGATTTATAGCTGCACCCTGGGGATTGGGTGGTGGGGGCAGCGGGGGCACCAGCACCAGTCACCAGTCACACACACACACACACACACACACACACACACACACAGAACAGGCTGTTTGTGCTTTATGTGTGACAATATTCAGAAAATCAATTAAATTTGAATTTTAAAATAAAGTGACTAATGAAACACTTTTAAATCAGTTTAACTGTTAAATTTTCCATTTACACAGTTGACTCAGGTAATGTGACTAACTGCCATCAGCAGAACAGTTTGTTCTCACAAAGCTTCATGTTTCAGTTTTCACATTTTAAACTAAAAGTGTTTAATGATAAAGTATTTTACCCAAAACTGTCTCAGTGCTGCCCTCTGCAGGCCAAACGGTGCCACAGCAATTAGATTCTTCTTGTGGTTTAAAACCGTCCAGCTTTTCACCACTTTGTCCTGCAGATGACCTCTGACCTGCAGATGACCTCTGACCTGCAGATGACCTCTGACCTGCAGATGACCTCTGACCTGCAGAGCGTTGTTGCCATAAAAGTCTCAAACAACACAGAAAGTGACTAGATGTGTCACTTTGTTTCTGACTGAATTTAGCAGATCTATCGTAATAGATTCTACTCTCTCAGGTCTATAGATCTGTGTGTAATAGATTCAGTGTTTGATAGATCTTCTGCTCATAGATTGACTCTGTCTGGTCGCCGCAGCGCATTCAGGACATGGAGGAGCGTCGCATCGAGCGGATCGCCGAGGCGATGCGTTCGGCGGCGGAGTCGGAGCGGAAGGTCCTTCCTGCGGCGAGCCGCTGTCTGGACGCCATGATGGACGCCGCTGAAAGCATCCAGCCCAGGAAGGTGAGGCCCACAGATGGAGGCTTTTAGAGCTGCAGCTGAGCCATGCATCATCATCTGTGTGTGTGTGTGTGTGTGTGTGCGCAGGACACCGGTCATGTGGTGGAGGTGTATAAATCCGGCTTCGACCCTCCAGGCGATGTTGAATTTGAAGATTACAGCGCCAACATGAGGCGGAGCATCTCTGAATCCAGTTACCTTGACAACCGGGCTGAGGGGCGAAAACATAGCAGGAAGTTGTGGCCATTCCTACGGAAAAACAAGGTGACCCCCCCCCACACACACACACACCTTTCTTTGGACCTGGTCGGTTCCTCTGGGAGATCCTGAAGGTTTCTACCAAAACATGAGAAAGGGTTAAACATGTTCCCTTGGGGGCCATCCTGTGGGGGGGCCCACCTGGTTGCCTGAACTGAAGCTTTTGTGTCTCACTGCAGCTGCTGCATCTCCTATCGTCGCCAAGGCAACCACCACCCCTGCCCCCGACCTCACCTTCACCTGGAGAGGCAATTAACTCCTCCCAGTCCCCGCCCACAGGGTCCAGAGAGCCAATCACACAACGGCTTAGTGACCTCATGAGCTCTGGGTCCAGAACCAGGAAGCAGTGTCTCCGAAGCCTGAAGAGAGGGGTACACACACACACACACACACACGCACACACACACACATGTTTGTGTTGCTGTCTTTGTGGGGACTTTCCATTGACTTCCATTCATTTCTACAGCCTAAACCTGACCTTTACCCTTTTCCTAACCCCATCCATCACATACCTAACCCTAACCAAAACTCAATTCATACCTTAGCCCTAACTCTGACCCAAAAACAGGGATTCCCCTTGTGGGGACCAGGCTCCGGTCCCCACAAGGAGCAATTGGTCCCCACAACGTAGTATATGTCAGGAAAATCGTCCCCACCAGGTGTTACAAACAAACGCACACACACAACACACACACAGACACTCACAGACACACACACACACACAGACACTCACAGACACACACACACACAGACAGACACTCACAGACACACACACACACAGACACACACACACACAGACATACAGACACACACACAGACACACACACACAGACACACACGTCCTTCTGACCGGCAGCTGACGGCGTGTTGAAGAGTGATGGACAGGACACCTTGGTCAGGAAGCTCATTGCAAACCTTTAGTTGAAACGACGCCTTTAACTCCAGTCTCCAGTACAGAACAGAGAAAACTAAAGACAATGCAACGTTGTTTTAATCCATTTATAGTCTAAACGGAGGAGCCAGCAGTTTATTTTGAGGAACTAAATAAAGGTGCAGAAGTTAATTAGATCCATGCGCAGTCCGCTGCACAACCAATGCGGACGCGGCTCTGCCGCTGCGAAGAATTAAACTTAACTCGCCATGCAGTTTTAACAAATGGAGTTGAAGATGTTACCCTCCCGCACTCAGGAGAGCGATGCACAGAAGGAGCGCGGCAGACGTAACATCTGTCCGTTTTGGAGAAGCGAAACCATGCAAAAAATCCTGGTAAAAACGCACACCCGAACCATGCACAGGGTATAAAAAATAAAAAAAATAAAAAATCTGCAGAGTTCAATTGTTCGGTTTGGTTCATACAGATCCAAATGTCGATGAACCAGCGCAGATTTCTCTGCAGATGCGACCAGGAAGAATTTGTGAAGCTGTGCGTTCAGACGCAGCGGGTGAATTAATGGTAATTTAAGTGGAGTCGCTTAATTTCATTTGTTATAAGTTATTGGAGCCACAATCAGTGGTTTGTGTCACTACGGAGAAAAAGTTAGATGCATTTATCTGCTTTATGTATGATGGGATCTGGATTCAATTAGGTGAATATTAACTAAACCGCATAAAAATGGGGCTAAATAGTCTGTTAATATGTTTTGACATGTAATTTGACAGGTAAAAATAGTTCTGGTCGGACCAGAATTATTTGCCTGATGAAGGCTCGGGCTTCTAATGAGTTTACATTTAATGAGTTTGCAGCACACAGAGAAAACCTAAAGAGAATGTGTGATCTAGTTGTGTTGATCTACTT